ATTTCCATGTTATGCTAGATTAACCCTGTAAAGCCCAAATATAGAAAAACATTAGAATTTATTTTGTTGACCTTTCAGATGTTGTTGAGCCTCTGGAGCAGAAATTAAAGAGTTTTCACATTTTTGACGTTGTGGTAAGTTTTTAGGGAAATGTAATATAGCAACGTTGGGCTTAGGTGGGAGCAGAACTCCTGTATTTCTACTCACATTGTCTGAATACATATATTGAACAACTAAGGGTTGATTTGCGGGATTAGCCCTATATCAGTATAGCATGAATAATAATCACACATCAGTCATATTTTTTATGAATAGTCATTTATTAAATATGAATATGGTAGTCCAAAAAACAGTTCCTATCGTCGGAGACGGACGTCACACTTGGTGCATTGTGTGTTTGTGTACCCTTCACTGCAGTGTCTGCAGCGTCCTCTCTTTGTCTTCACTGGAACATGTGCCACTAGGTCCTTCCGTACATCCAGTGGAGGCTGTGATCTCTTGGATGGGGCCCCGCTTGGTGGACTCCCATCACCTGAGGATGGTCTCTTCTGAGCACTCAACGGGCTCCTTGATGTCACCGTCGATGCTGGGCTCCCGTTGCCTAAAGATGGTCGTCCTCTCTTGGGTGTTTTCAGAGGAGTTGTGTTCACCTGATTAGAACAGAATCAATCAAGATACATGTCAAAAATACATTAGGATACAAGTCAAAAATATTACAGTGAAATATAAAAAAATATTACAAACGGCAAATAGCAGAAATGCATTCTTACCAGGATGAGAGAGGATGCTAGATCTGCCTGAAACTGTCTCCTGGTCAGGATCTCCTGCTTTGGCATCTTTAGAGCTTTGCACCCCCGCTTGTAGAGGAGCCAGGCGTTGATCACAGCAAGGAGGATGGTGTGCCAGAAGATGTACACGTACCAGCGTCGGGACTTCATGGGTCTGGTCCAGCAAAGGATGACACAAGTGTGACCGCTCTGCTGTCATACCATTTGACAGCACAGATGTTGTGGTTGGCTTCCACTCGGATGTCAAAGCTTCCTCTCCCTTTTTTCTTCAAGCTCTTCTCCTCTTCAAGGTTACAGTTGGGTAAGCGCACCTGCCTGGCTGTTCCCACATAATGAATCTCACGATCAAGGAGCTTCACTACCAATGGGACATAGGTGTTGTTGGGACTCGATGTCCACATAATCACTGACTGGGGGGTCATTGGGTTGTTGGTTTTCCTTGTCCATGTGGCCACAGGCATGTTCATCTACCTCTTCTTCACTCATAGCAGTGTGTTGGAGCACCACCCTTTGGAGTGGTTGAAGGTTCGAGCCTGCTCCGCGCCGTTCGTTGATGAGTGGTCTGCTATAAGAAGAAGGACTCAGACACCAAGATATGAGGTTAACAATAAACTGATTTAATGGTAAAAGCAACAGTACAATAATACGAAGTACTTCGGGCTCTGGTCTTACTACCGTGTGATATACGTATCAGGACAGTCAGTCAGAAGAGAGCCCCGAGCATGAATATTGGGGCAGTTTACATACAGATTCTGTGGGAGGAGTTGTGTCGGTTGCTCCTCCCTTCATATTTCTAATTGGTGGCATCACTCCTGGGCGGGCCCTAGGCAATGAGTCAGCAGCCGTTGACTCCGTCTGGTTCGCGCCATCTCCTTACAAGGAGATGGCTGGCGCTGCTGGGAGTCGTATTCAAGTTGCACATAACCGATGTTTGACCCGCTGTGTCCAATATTTGACCCGCTGTGTCCCAATAGTGATATTTCACTTCTCATATTTCTAGCTTCCTGTTATGCAGACTGCTATTAAAGATAGGGATGCTTCACTTCTCATATTTCTAGCTTCCTGTTATGCAGACTGCTATTAAAGAGGAACCAGTGTAATTAAGCACACATATATTCTCAAGCAAACTCATAGCTGAACACTGTGTACACAGGTTACTTTAAGTGTCACTGTCCTCTGATTCCATCTCAAAATCACTTTCTCCTTTTTGGATGGCATCACATCTTGCACACTGAATCCAGGACCTCTCTTTGCTGGTGGCATTCTGAAATGGAAAAAGTAATTAATAAATATGTATCAATAATACATATGCTTATTATATTGTAATAGATTACCTGAAGGAATAGATAGGGTGGTGGGACAAGTGTTCATTCTGTCTGGCTTAGCCTATTGTCATACTAAAAGGAATGCATGCACCACCCCCTTCCAGGTGTCCCGATGCAACAAGCATCTGAATCCTATTTACATTGCACACTTGAGTGACACGATACTACCTGGCTTAGCCTATTATCATAACACAAGCAATACCTACACCCACACATGCAGGTAAACCAGTTCAACAAGTCACACAATGCTGTCTGGCTAATGCTAACAGGCTATTTATCATACTAAAAGGGATACATCCAAGTGTCCCAACACATTTCCCCTTAGCGCAATACCGCATCAGTTGCGCCACTTATGTGACAGACAAGAATAGTATGTGACAGACAAGAATAGTATGTGACAGACAAAAGAGTATGTGACAGACAAGAATAGTCAATTATAATGTCTAACACTTAATGTGGAGAAAGAGATGTCCTGTATGGGTTGATTGTGCGTTGATCTGTTGGTAATGCCTCGGGGTTCCGGTGGGCATGTAAACAAATGCATAATGCTGCGCTATACTTTGCGGCCTCACCCGGTTGCATAGCAACGCTTATTGTTTAGGTGTCTTAATAAGCAGGTAGTCATATCATTAGCTAGAACTAGCTAGATCTGATCGATATGGGCATAAACGCGAGTCTAATCTGATGGGAGAGAGAGATCAGCTGCTGCTGACGAGTCGACACGCAGCTCTGCATGATCCCCTGCAGCGGTGAGCAGAGCAACACACACACTTCAGGTTAGAATATCCCACGTAGCTATTTTAATTACCTCTCAAACTACCTAAACTAGTTATAGATTAACTACTAGATATGTTTAGTTTTACTGTCGGGTCACTCATTACTGAATCCGCGAGCTGCATGATACTGACGGGCTGTCAGGAGAGGGAGAGAGCGCTCCGTTTATTATTGCCGTGTTATTGTAAGTTACTACACTTTTGAATAATGTACTTAATCTACTATAATTAGTTTGTTTAATATCGAATCATATCAATTTGTTTTAAAGCTCAATAAATAACAAAAAAGACCTTTGACCGGCACTTTTCTAATTTGTCCGGAAGATAAACTTTAACGGACATGTTGACCGTCAAAAAAATATTCTAACGGGAACTCTGATTACTACAGATATAATTTCACATACCTTTATCAGAAATAATGTATTAATGTATTCAATTCTGGTCTTAATTCAAAATCTTAACAGAGGACACATTTAGAACTTAGTTATAGTGAATTATCAAAGACATCATATTTCTATTAGTGTTTTATTTCCATATGTGAACATAGAAGAAGGGCGGGGTCCATGACAGGGACACGTGCTATTTTGACTACCACAGACCCAGTGTTGTAATATTACAACAAAGACATAAGCTGCTCAAAATCAGGACCTATAAACACATGTACTACCCAATAGCATTGTGAGGCTGAACAAAAGGACCTTTAGACTATGTCAATGTAGTCTTTAAAAAAACAAAACATTTACTGACTTCTTTAGGATAGCTTAAAGCAGTGGTTCTCAAACTTTTTCTGTCAGGCTTTGGAGAAAAACAGTAAACAGTGACAAATAGTCACGTAATGGGCCAAGTTAACATTTATTAAAATACATCAATATGAACGTGAGCATTCCTTTCAAAAAAATTAAAGAAAACACTTTGCTAGAACAGTGATAATAAAACAATGCTCCATAAGTCTGTGTGGTCAAAAAAAGAATTACATAATACAATTGTGCAATCCCTTTGCTAGAACAATAAGTTATAATACTTTGCCACTTTGCAATCTGTGCAAACAAATGAAAAGAAAGAAAATGCTGATATTTGGCAGAAAGTGTGTCTTATCATTAGTTTTCTGCAATGAGCCTGTTTTGCTCTGCACATTTCTTCAGAACGGGGTTGCAGGTTCAGTGGCAGCGCCGGAGATTTCTTTTGGGGGTGCTGTGGGGTAGCTTCACGTTTCATATTATTTTCAAATTATGATTTTTTCTTTTTTTTTTTCAAAACCATTTTTCCTCCTGGTCTCTCGTATCCCCCCCCCCACTTTGAGAAACACTGGCTTAAAGTAATGTTGTAAAACTACAACAGTGGGCCTTACAGGGTTACACTTCTACTGAACCACATTTAAGAGGAACATATGTTATGTTTTATACATTTAACTCTCATAGTTACTTTACATGTCACTTGTTTGACGCTTTTACCCAAAGCGACTTGAATGGCTCCACATTGACACACATTAAAATGCTCCTACGTGTACTACATGTAGTTTTTAGTGATGTTAACAGGCTAATATAATAATATAATAATATAATACTGTGGGAAGGGCCATTCTGCATATACTTTTGATACTTTAAGTACATTTTGATGCCAATACTTCAGTAATTTTGCACTTTACCTCTGCTCATAAATAGGCCTATGCTACATCTTCTAATCTAGGCAACAGTGTGCAGGCTGTAGTCTCAGCAGGCTGTAGTCTCAGCAGAGAGTAGTCTCAGCAGAGAGTAGTCTCAGCACAGGCTGTAGTCTCAGCAGGCTGTAGTCTCAGCAGGCTGTAGTCTCAGCAGAGAGTAGTCTCAGCACAGGCTGTAGTCTCAGCAGAGAGTAGTCTCAGCAGGCTGTAGTCTCAGCAGGCTGTAGTCTCAGCAGGCTGTAGTCTCAGCAGAGAGTAGTCTCAGCAGGCTGTAGTCTCAGCAGGCTGTAGTCTCAGCAGAGAGTAGTCTCAGCAGGCTGTAATCTCAGCAGAGTGTAGTCTCAGCAGAGTGTAGTCTCAGCAGAGAGTAGTCTCAGCAGAGAGTTAACCAAAGTTCTGGGGAAAACTTGGAGAAAAAAGGCGGATCAAAACAAACCAAATCCTGGTCCTCCTCCTCTTCCTCCTCCTCCCTCACTTTTTCCTCCTCCTCCCGGCATGTGGTGTGTATTTGTTTAATCTCGACACCCTAAAGGCAGCAGAAGCAGCAGAAGAAATAAAAACGTTCCCCTCCTTCCAGAGTTGTTTACGCGCGGCGGAGCGATGTCAGCGGTTTGCCCGAAGAAGAGCGTCTTTTCTCGGCTACTTTTCCTCCTCTTCCTCCAGGACTCCTGCTGCTCGGCACTTGAACTCGTGCTCCTGCACACCAACGACGTGCACGCACGGGTGGAGGAGACCAGCGTGCACTCGGGCACGTGCGGCAGCGAGAGCAGCGCGTGTTTCGCCGGGGTCGCGCGCAGAGCCACGGAGGTCGCGCGGATCCGGAGCACGGAGCGGCACGTGCTGCTTCTGGACGCCGGAGATCAGTTCCAGGGGACGGTTTGGTTCAATCACTACAAGGGGGCGGAGGCGGCGCACTTCATGAACAAACTGAAGTACGATGCTATGGTGAGACACACACACACACGCACACACGCACGCACGCACGCACACACACACACACACACACACACACACACACGCACACACACTTGTTATTAGACATTGGTGGAAAGTAAACTAAGTACATTTACTCAAGTAATAAACTTTGAGGTACTTTTTCTGCAGTGGTGGAAGAAGTACTCAGATCTTGTACTTGATTAAAAGTAGAAGTACTCAGGTCTTGTACTTGAGTAAAAGTAGAAGTACTCAGATCTTGTACTTGAGTAAAAGTAGAAGTACTCAGATCTTGTACTTGAGTAAAAGTAGAAGTACTCAGATCTTGTAGACTTGATTATATTTCACATCATTAATCCAAATCTGTAAAGTAACTAAAGGTATTAAATACATGTAGTGGAGTAGAAGTACACAGTAGCATAACATGGAAATACTCAAGTAAAGTACAAGTACCTCCATAATAAAACCATGACAGATAGAAACAGAGCGTTCTCAGTTCAGTTCAGGTTGAGTTTGATGTATCCATTGCTGTTGAAGCCTCGGCTGGTTTTAATTATCTTAATAGCTGAAACTCATGAGAGGGAAACATTCTAATGGATCTCTTTAATCTTTCCGCCAAATAAATTGTGTTGGAGAAATACTGAGGCAATAAATCGAGACATAGACTTCCTCACTATCAACAGAGCTTTTGTCCTCATTTTAAAATAGGTGTTTTAATGTTGTTGGAACAGAATCTGGGTTTCTGAAAAAGCCCCTTTGCACCCAGGTTTGAACTGCGTCTGAGCTGCAAATCATTCATTACTTTCTTTAATAGTTAACAACTACCTGTATACTTTGCTAGACCTTGACTTCTAACATTTACAGTTTAGTTTCCTGTATCTGGATATTATTTACATTCTTGTTCTTTACCGAGCACACAGGAAGTCAAAGGGTTTACTCCAACAAAGTACACTAAAGGAGATAAGCACTTCAGAGTTTAAACTGTGAACAAACTGTTAAATACTTAAGAGATTAACTGATGGATCGGTGTCTCTACTTTAAAGAGTCCTCTCCTGCTGATGTTCAGGTGTATATCAGTATGTAGTGTCTCTACTTTAAAGAGTCCTCTCTTGCTGATGTTCAGGTGTATATCAGTATGTAGTGTCTCTACTTTAAAGAGTCCTCTCCTGCTGATGTTCAGATGTATATCAGTATGTATTGTCTCTACTTTAAAGAGTCCTCTCCTGCTGATGTTCAGGTGTATATCAGTATGTAGTGTCTCTACTTTAAAGAGTCCTCTCCTGCTGTCAGTGTTATCCGGTGGTATATCAGTATGGTAGTCTATGTAGTGTCTCTACTTTAAAGAGTCCTCTCCGCTGATGTTCAGGTGTATATCAGTATGTAGTGTCTCTACTTAAAGAGTCCTCTCCTGCTGATGTTCAGGTGTATATCAGTATGTAGTGTCTCTACTTTAAAGAGTCCTCTCCTGCTGATGTTCAGGTGTATATCAGTATGTAGTGTCTCTACTTTAAAGAGTCCTCTCCTGCTGATGTTCAGGTGTATATCAGTATGTAGTGTCTCTACTTTAAAGAGTCCTCCTCCTGCTGATGTTCAGGTGTATATCAGTATGTAGTGTCTCTACTTTAAAGAGTCCTCTCCTGCTGATGTTCAGGTGTATATCAGTATGTAGTGTCTCTACTATTAAAGAGTCCTCTCCTGCTGATGTTCAGGTGTATATCAGTATGTAGTGTCTCTACTTTAAATGAGTCCTCTCCTGCTGATGTTCAGGATGGCTATCAGTATGTATTGTCTCTACTTTAAAGAGTCCTCTCCTGCTGATGTTCAGGTGTATATCAGTATGTAGTGTCTCTACTTTAAAGAGTCCTCTCCTGCTGATGTTCAGGTGTATATCAGTATGTAGTGTCTCTACTTTAAAGAGTCCTCTCCTGCTGATGTTCAGGTGTATATCAGTATGTAGTGTCTCTACTTTAAAGAGTCCTCTCCTGCTGATGTTCAGGTGTATATCAGTATGTAGTGTCTCTACTTTAAAGAGTCCTCTCCTGCTGATGTTCAGGTGTATATCAGTATGTAGTGTCTCTACTTTAAAGAGTCCTCTCCTGCTGATGTTCAGGTGTATATCAGTATGTAGTGTCTCTACTTTAAAAGAGTCCTCTCCTGCTGATGTTCAGGTGTATATCAGTATGTAGTGTCTCTACTTTAAAGAGTCCTCTCCTGCTGATGTTCAGGTGTATATCAGTATGTAGTGTCTCTACTTTAAAGAGTCCTCTCCTGCTGATGTTCAGGTGTATATCAGTATGTAGTGTCTCTACTTTAAAGAGTCCTCTCCTGCTGATGTTCAGGTGTATATCAGTATGTAGTGTCTCTACTTTAAAGAGTTCTCTCCTGCTGATGTTCAGGTGTATATCAGTATGTAGTGTCTCTACTTTAAAGAGTCCTCTCCTGCTGATGTTCAGGTGTATATCAGTATGTAGTGTCTCTACTTTAAAGAGTCCTCTCCTGCTGATGTTCAGATGTATATCAGTATGTTGTGTCTCTACTTTAAAGAGTCCTCTCCTGTTGATGTTCAGGTGTATATCAGTATGTAGTGTCTCTACTTTAAAGAGTCCTCTCCTGCTGATGTTCAGGTGTATATCAGTATGTAGTGTCTCTACTTTAAAGAGTTCTCTCCTGCTGATGTTCAGGTGTATATCAGTATGTAGTGTCTCTACTTTAAAGAGTCCTCTCCTGCTGATGTTCAGGTGTATATCAGTATGTAGAGTCTCTACTTTAAAGAGTCCTCTCCTGAATCCATGTTTTGCTTTTTTCTCCCAGGCTTTTGGGAACCATGAGTTTGATAACGGTTTGGAGGGTCTGAAGAAGCCGTTTATGGAACAGATTCTGTGTCCCATCGTCAGCGCAAATTTAAAAACGGACCCGAGTATTGCGGCGACTTTTGGCAAATCTTATCTCCCGTATAAAATCCTGACGGTGGCGGGAGAACAGGTGGGAATCGTGGGATACGTCTCTCAGGAAACATCAGCGCTGTCCAAACCAGGTGAGTCGAGAGGAGAAGTTACCCCTGAGATTTTCCTCTTCAGCCGTCAGCAAGAGTGAGAGGGAAATGTTGGTTTGAAGAGGCACCCTCAAAATCAGATATTGTCCCTTGTGTCCCTGCAGGTCCTCTCCTGCTCTTCGAGGCGGAGATTCCCGCTCTGCAGCTACAGGTCGATAAGCTGCGGACGCTCGGGGTGAATAAGATCATCGCTCTGGGTCACTCTGGGTTCACCGTGGACAAAGAGATCGCCAGGAAGGTCAGAGGGGTGGACGTGGTGATCGGAGGACACAGCAACACTTTCCTCTACACCGGTAACAACTCCTCTGATATTTCATATGGTGTTTCTCTCTGGTTTGACCTTCAGATTCAGATCCTTTACTTCAAAAAGAAATACTAAAATCATGCTTTAAAAATACTCCACTACAACTAAAAGTCAGTATGGTATATATAAACTGTATTTATTTTTCTTGTATCTGAAATAACAATAAAAAAAACACCCAAATAATTTAAGATCATTTTAATTTCGAAGGCTTTTAAAGGTGTATAGATTCCAATTTAAGTTTCTTTAATTATTTATTGATTATTCTGGACTTTCAGCAGTTACTGTAACTCTTCGCAACTTAAGTTTTTTATAAAAACATCATCAATCTTGTGTTTATTAAGGTAAATAAAGCTGTAAGATAAACATATGTGTTATGGAATAGACGTATAAGTTGCCTTCGGAGGACACAGCAACACTTTCCTCTACACCGTAACATCTCTGATATTTAATATGTTTTTATCTCTGGATTGTCTTGGGCTAACATTGGGCAATCTTCAACCCTTTACTTAAAGGGGACCTATCATGCAAAATGCACTTGTGTACGTCTTTTCTACATGAATATGTGTCCCCGGTGTTCCAGGGAACTCACCAAGTGTCAGAAAACACAACCCTCTCTATTTTCCTCCATACCCAAATCTCTAAAAAAGGGGCTGCAACGGATCTGATCAAAACTGATCCAGATTTGAACACTGTCCTGACGTCAGGACGGTGGCGCTACGGCTATTGGGCCAACTCCACCAATCAGGAGGAGACAGCCACGGCCATTGCCGTTCGAAAGCGCTGGAGACGCTGTAGTACATATGCCAGGCCTGTAGGGGGTGCTGTTCTCACAGAATCTGCCCTTGCAGAGCAGAGCTAAAAAAAAGTGCAAATTGAGCGAAATGAGGCATGGCTAAAATGCATGATCTGTTTGGTATTTTGAAAACAGAAACGTATAAATATGCCTTATATAGGTATGGCCCTACAATATATCATTTAAATATACCATGATAGGTCCACTTTAAATAGAAATACTAAAATCATGCTTTAAAAATACTCCACTGCTAGTAAAAGTCAGTATTGTATGTATAAACTCTATTTTGTTTGTGTATTACATGCAGAAAAAACAGAAAAAACTATAAATAACACCCTAAAAATATTTAAAGATACATTAAAATGACTTAAAGAGTTAGAAACCTAATAATTCATGTGTTTTATATGCAAAAATAAAGTGTTTTAAGGTAAATAAAGCTGTAAGAGGAATATATATGTTATGGAATAGACGCCTTAAAAGAACCTACTCAAGTAAAGAACCTTAAAAATGCAATTAGGTTGAATATTTAGGTGCAAAGCAGTACGTCTGTATTATTTGTGTTGCGAGGTGGAGAAAGAAAAGTGTTTCTTCGTCCCCTGTGGTTAGGGTTAGATTCCTGTCCCTCGCGTCGAGCGGAAACTCTGAGTCTGGCTGAGATCAGGAGTAAACAACGTGTCCACGTAAATAACGTTCTACAGCTTTATGTAAACAAGAGGAGGAGGAGGAGAGCACCGTGATGCGTTCAAGGACTCTTGTGAAGTGCAGTTTCCTGCCGTAACATTCTTTTAAAAGAGGCCTTATTCTGCAGACACTACATACTGATATACACGTGAACATCAGCAGGAGAGGACTCTTTAAAGTAGAGACACTACATACTGATATACACCTGAACATCAGCAGGAGAGGACTCTTTAAAGTAGAGACACTACATACTGATATACACCTGAACATCAGCAGGAGAGGACTCTTTAAAGTAGAGACACTACATACTGATATACACATGAACATCAGCAGGAGAGGACTCTTTAAAGTAGAGACACTACGTACTGATATACACCTGAACATCAGCAGGAGAGGACTCTTTAAAGTAGAGACACTACATACTGATATACACCTGAACATCAGCAGGAGAGGACTCTTTAAAGTAGAGACACTACATACTGATATACACATGAACATCAGCAGGAGAGGACTCTTTAAAGTAGAGACACTACGTACTGATATACACGTGAACATCAGCAGGAGAGGACTCTTTAAAGTAGAGACACTACATACTGATATACACATGAACATCAGCAGGAGAGGACTCTTTAAAGTAGAGACACTACGTACTGATATACACGTGAACATCAGCAGGAGAGGACTCTTTAAAGTAGAGACACTACATACTGATATACACCTGAACATCAGCAGGAGAGGACTCTTTAAAGTAGAGACACTACATACTGATATACACCTGAACATCAGCAGGAGAGGACTCTTTAAAGTAGAGACACTACATACTGATATACACCTGAACATCAGCAGGAGAGGACTCTTTAAAGTAGAGACACTACATACTGATACACACCTGAACATCAGCAGGAGAGGACTCTTTAAAGTAGAGACACTACATACTGATATACACGTGAGCATCAGCAGGAGAGGACTCTTTAAAGTAGAGACACTACATACTGATATACACCTGAACATCAGCAGGAGAGGACTCTTTAAAGTAGAGACACTACACACTGATATACACCTGAACATCAGCAGGAGAGGACTCTTTAAAGTAGAGACACTACATACTGATATACACGTGAGCATCAGCAGGAGAGGACTCTTTAAAGTAGAGACACTACATACTGATATACACCTGAACATCAGCAGGTGAGGACTCTTTAAAGTAGAGACACTACATACTGATATACACCTGAACATCAGCAGGAGAGGACTCTTTAAAGTAGAGACACTACATACTGATATACACCTGAACATCAGCAGGAGAGGACTCTTTAAAGTAGAGACACTACATACTGATATACACCTGAACATCAGCAGGAGAGGACTCTTTAAAGTAGAGACACTACATACTGATATACACCTGAACATCAGCAGGAGAGGACTCTTTAAAGTAGAGACACTACATACTGATATACACGTGAACATCAGCAGGAGAGGACTCTTTAAAGTAGAGACACTACATACTGATATACACCTGAACATCAGCAGGAGAGGACTCTTTAAAGTAGAGACACTACATACTGATATACACCTGAACATCAGCAGGAGAGGACTCTTTAAAGTAGAGACACTACATACTGATATACACCTGAACATCAGCAGGAGAGGACTCTTTAAAGTAGAGACACTACATACTGATATACACCTGAACATCAGCAGGAGAGGACTCTTTAAAGTAGAGACACTACATACTGATATACACCTGAACATCAGCAGGAGAGGACTCTTTAAAGTAGAGACTCTACATACTGATATACACCTGCACATCAGCAGGAGAGGACTCTTTAAAGTAGAGACACTACATACTGATATACACCTGGACATCAGCAGGAGAGGACTCTTTAAAGTAGAGACACTGCATACTGATATACACCTGACCATCAGCAGGAGAGGACTCTTTAAAGTAGAGACACTACATACTGATATACACCTGAAACCTGTTCTCACTCTGTCTTTATCTCCTCTCTCTCCACTCTTTATTTCTCAGGAACCCAGCCCTCCACTGAATTCCCAGCAGGAGATTATCCCTTCATGGTGAAGTCAGACGACGGGCGGCAGGTTCCCGTGGTGCAGGCGTACGCTTTCGGGAAATACCTGGGGTACCTGAAGGTGACGTTTAACGAGGCCGGGGACCTCCTGAAGGCAACAGGAAACCCCATCCTGCTGGACGGCAGCGTGACACAGGGTAAGAAAAGGTTTTATACCAAGTGGTGCAGGAATGAGTCCTTTATAGCCCAACATTAGCCGCCTTTAGCTTAGCGGTGGTGACGTGAAGTCATGTGACCGTGCTGTAGTTCCTTTATAGCCCAACATTAGCCACCTTTAGCTTAGCGGTGGTGACGTGAAGTCATGTGACCGTGCTGTAGTTCCCTTATAGCCCAACATTAGCCCCCTTTAGCTTAGCGGTGATGACGTGAAGTCATGTGACCGTGCTGTAGTTCCTTTATAGCCCAACATTAGCCGCCTTTAGCTTAGCGGTGATGAGGTGAAGTCATGTGACCGTGCTGTAGTTCCTTTATAGCCCAACTTTAGCCACCTTTAGCTTAGCGGTGGTGACGTGAAGTCATGTGACCGTGCTGTAGTTCCTTTATAGCCCAACATTAGCCCCCTTTAGCTTAGCGGTGATGACGTGAAGTCATGTGACCGTGCTGTAGTTCCTTTATAGCCCAACATTAGCCGCCTTTAGCTTAGCGGTGATGAGGTGAAGTCATGTGACCGTGCTGTAGTTCCTTTATAGCCCAACATTAGCCGCCTTTAGCTTAGCGGTGGTGACGTGAAGTCATGTGACCGTGCTGTAGTTCCTTTATAGCCCAACATTAGCCGCCTTTAGCTTAGCGGTGGTGACGTGAAGTCATGTGACCGTGCTGTAGTTCCTTTATAGCCCAACATTAGCCGCCTTTAGCTTAGCGGTGGTGACGTGAAGTCATGTGACCGTGCTGTAGTTCCTTTATAGCCCAACATTAGTCGCCTTTAGCTTAGCGGTGATGACGTGAAGTCATGTGACCGTGCTGTAGTTCCTTTATAGCCCAACATTAGCCGCCTTTAGCTTAGCGGTGGTGACGTGAAGTCATGTGACCGTGCTGTAGTTCCTTTATAGCCCGACATTAGCCTCCTTTAGCTTAGCGGTGGTGACGTGAAGTCATGTGACCGTGCTGTAGTTCCTTTATAGCCCAACATTAGCCCCCTTTAGCTTAGCGGTGATGACGTGAAGTCATGTGACCGTGCTGTAGTTCCTTTATAGCCCAACATTAGCCGCCTTTAGCTTAGCGGTGATGAGGTGAAGTCATGTGACCGTGCTGTAGTTCCTTTATAGCCCAACATTAGCCGCCTTTAGCTTAGCGGTGGTGACGTGAAGTCATGTGACCGTGCTGTAGTTCCTTTATAGCCCAACATTAGCCGCCTTTAGCTTAGCGGTGGTGACGTGAAGTCATGTGACCGTGCTGTAGTTCCTTTATAGCCCAACATTAGCCGCCTTTAGCTTAGCGGTGGTGACGTGAAGTCATGTGACCGTGCTGTAGTTCCTTTATAGCCCAACATTAGCCGCCTTTAGCTTAGCGGTGATGACGTGAAGTCATGTGACCGTGCTGTAGTTCCTTTATAGCCCAACATTAGCCGCCTTTAGCTTAGCGGTGGTGACGTGAAGTCATGTGACCGTGCTGTAGTTCCTTTATAGCCCGACATTAGCCTCCTTTAGCTTAGCGGTGGTGACGTGCAGTCATGTGACCGTGCTGTAGTTCCTTTATAGCCCGACATTAGCCTCCTTTAGCTTAGCGGTGGTGATGTGAAGTCATGTGACCGTGCTGTAGTTCCTCTATAGCCTCACGTTAGCTTTTTACTTCAGAAATCATTAAGTGGTGTTAATATGTGGAGATGATCCTGCTGAACTAAACGTGTTAGTATCATAAACGTTGAGATTATTTTCTGCAATAATCACATGGAGAAATCCCATTGGACCAGGGAGATGCTGCCTTCAGGGACCAACACAGAAATATCACATCCCTGCACCACTATTACTATTTCCCATTACCTTTTGTTAATGAAATACACCACCTTGTTTTTTAATTTTTTTAAATCTATGGCTGTATTTGTAGATCCGGAGTTTCTTGCCGATGTGCAGGAGTGGAAGAAGAGTCTCGCAAACTTCTCCTCTCAGGTGGTCGGACAAACTCAGGTTTTCCTGAACGGCTCGGCGGAGGAATGTCGCTTCAGAGAGTGCAACCTGGGAAACATGATCTGTGACGCCATGGTGAGGAAATGGGACGTAGATAAATAAAAATAAATGCATCGCAGATGGAAATTAGCTTTGAGTGAACTCTACGACTAAAGAATCTGTATTCGATTGTACGATCTCTTATAACCTCAGCAACTGCCTTTCTTTTTATGTTCCAACAAGAACCCTTTTAGAAATCTATCCCCGTGGATATTAGAACAGCAAACTCCCTTGAATTGTTTAAAAGTAAATCTTTTTAAAATGGCTTTTAATTTGGGTTAACTTTCAATTCTCACCGTCCATGTTTTACTGTTTTTTTTCTGTTTGGCTTTTATTTTACATTTTAAACTTTCTTTTAAAAATGTATTTTAACCTATTTTAATTTCTTGTCAGCTTTACTTCAAGGGAATTTCATCACTGTTAATGTTTTATCTTCTCTATCTATATTCATTTTAATATTGTTGTTGTGTTTTCTTCTTGTTCTGTTTGTGCATGAAAGGTGCTCTACAAATAAAGTGTAGTTATTATTATTATTATAAATAAATCGTGATCGTAAAGTGTAACTGTGGCGGCGGTTCCTCTTTGTTTCTCAGATTTTACAACAACATCCGGTTCTCCGACGGCCAGCAGTGGAACCACGTCAGCGCCTGCATCTTCAACGGAGGCGGAGTCCGGACCTCCATCGACGAGAGAACCAGGAACGGTGCGTCACTCCGTTAAATATATAGTATTTCAATCAGGTGTAAATACTTTTTGAATGCTAAATTGTTTCTTAAAAATGCTTATTTTTTATTATCTGTTAGGGAATAATTTGCTTAGGTGTTCAACCTTTGACCCAGTTCATCATTTTCTCCTCTCACTGTCTCTTTCTCATGGCATAGGTCTACGGCCTTGGGTATTGCTGCTATCGCTCTTAAGGGGGAGGAGCTTGGGTATTGCTGCTATCGCTCTTAAGGGGGAGGAGCTTGGGTATTGCTGCTATCTCTCTTAAGGGGGAGGAGCTTGGGTATTGCTGCTATCTCTCTTAAGAGGGAGGAGCTTGGGTATTGCTGCTATCTCTCTTAAGAGGGAGGAGCTTGGGTATTGCTGCTATCTCTCTTAAGAGGGAGGTGCTTGGGTATTGCTGCTATCTCTCTTAAGGGGGAGGAGCTTGGGTATTGCTGCTATCTCTCTTAAGGGGGAGGAGCTTGGGTATTGCTGCTATCTCTCTTAAGGGGGAGGAGCTTGGGTATTGCTGCTATCTCTCTTAAGGGGGAGGAGCTTGGGTATTGCTGCTATCTCTCTTAAGGGGGAGGAGCTTGGGTATTGCTGCTATCTCTCTTAAGAGGGAGGAGCTTGGGTATTCCTGCTATCTCTCTTAAGGGGGAGGAGCTTGGGCGCATCGTTGTTGCCAGCTTATGACCGAGCACAAGCCGACATGAGATAGTTTATTGTTCAGGGACATCTAGAAGCCCTTCTTTTTAGGAACGTAGGTTCCCTGGCGCACATTATTTTCTAACGACGACAGCTCTAGTTAGATTCAGGGTCTATATTTGTTTAGTCTCGCTGATAAAGAATGTTGATTATTACACTCCGAATTAGTTAAAACCTGGAACTGCAGAAGAGTTCTTCAGAATTGATTGTGGCATCTCCACCGTGTGGTCAGACCGTGGCACGTGACATGTCTTGTGAATTCTCTGGCCGACAAATAAACCGTCAGTGTTTGCCATCAAAGCTCCAGCTCTCCATCGTGTCTCTCTGAGTCCTGTTTCCAATTGCTTCAGAAGTTTCCCCCACAATTATCGTTATATATTTATTTTTTTACCTACTTTGCAACTTATTTTTTTAGATGGTTTATGTTCGCACCACCAGATACCAAAGCAAATTCCTTGTATGTGTAAACGTACCTGGCAATAAACTAGATTCTGATTCTGAGATCCAGAGGTCTAAAGTAACTAAGTAGATTTACTGAAGTACAATTTTGAGGTTTCACGCTGCTATGGACATTCTCAAAGATATTGACTGTTATTTTTGTATATATTGATTGTTGTGCTTATATGTATAAATGTGTCTGTTGATTGTGTATATATAGGATATACATGTTTTTATACATATTTTTATATATATATTAGTTTTTTTGTATTTGGGATTGTGGGAAACGGTATTTCGATCTCTGTACACACAAACTGAAAGATGGATGCTAAAGTTGACTTGACTGCATGATTCGCTGACGATACTGTGTTTTCCGTGTCGTCCGCAGGATCGATCACCATGGAGGACCTGATCTCCGTGCTTCCCTTCGGGGGAACCTTCGACCTGGTGCAGCTGAAGGGCTCCACGCTGTTCAAAGCCTTCGAACACTCAATGAGGCGATACGGACAAAGCACCGGGGAGTTCCTGCAGGTCTCAGGTACCTTCAAACACCACAGATGATGTTAGTTCGAGCTTCTGAGATCCACGTGGTTTTTAATTGTGCTTTAATGTTCAAAAAGCTCTTTATTGTTCTCATACTGCCTGTGCTGCAGCACCTCTTTTCACCCTCTGTCTGAAACCAGAGCCCAGTCTGCTCTGATTGGTTAGCTGGCCGGCTCGGTTGTGATTGGTCAACGGCTTAGAGATGTCCCGCCCCTTATGCTGCGTTCACACCGGACGCAATGCGAATATTCGCATCGCTCCAATCGCTCAAGTTTCACCGCGGCTTGCAGTTTGTTCATTCAAAACAGACATACCGTTGACGCGCCACGCCGTTGACGGACAGTTGAGGTTGTTTACACTTCCATGCAAGATCGTTTTGGTTATTTCTGTCCTTGACTATGGAGGATATAACAACTATTGCTGCTTTGTACCTTCTGTGGAAGTCCTACAAACGTAGCAACAAACGCCGTCGTGTCTGGGTTCTCATTCTCCACAAAGCCAGCTCCTTTTTGTTGCGGTCCCGATAGATATACGACATTGTATCGTAAATCTCCGGGAACCCACTCACAGCCACAACGATCATCTCTTCCATCTTTACAACTGATCAACAGCAGGACGTCAGAGGAACGTCAGAGGGAATCCCAACGCTGATTGGCTTTCGCGAGAACGCGTCACGTGAATTTGACGCTCGAGTTGAAAAAATGGAACTCTCGCGTTTGACGCGGCCCCCTTCAATCGCATGATTCGCGCCGCGTCCACCGCTTCATGCGTGCCGTCGGAGCGAATTTGCGTCTGTCCGCGTCTCTGCATTGACTTTACATGTAATCGCGCCGCCCCCAAAAATCGCATCGCGTCCGGTGTGAACGCTGCATTAGCCTATCACATATACAATGTGTTGGAGCGCTAGCCAATAGGAGCGTGAGTGTTCCGTAGTGATGTCAGGATGTTCCAGAAGTAAACAAAGTCCATTGGAGGAAAAAGAAAACCACTAGATGTCGTCCTCATTAATTAAGCGGTAAATAGTCCATAGATACAAATTTAAAGAAGAAGTGCTTGCCTACAGGAGTGCTAGTATTCCACAGTGATGTCTCTATGTTTAAGTACGGTTATGTAGGTGTTAGAAAACTCTCCCTGGTCCCCGGCTTGAGCTTCAACCTCAGGATCCATGTATCTGTGATCCTCTCCAGAATGGAAGTAGTCATCACATACAGAGCATCAACTAGTTCCTGAACAGTGTCCTTCACATGCTGATATCCAAGAGAGGGAGTTACACAGTCACAAGATGGAGGAATAGAAAGCAGTATTCAATGTTTACTTCAGATTAGCTCCACGTCAGAAATGAGCATGCTTGTCATATGTCTATCTCCATAGAGGCTGAATCATCATGTTCATCACATAGCTATCTGTGGCAGCGGGGTGTGGTTAGGGCGCCGGCTGCTGGAGGGATGGGAGTGGCTCGGTCGGACACTAGACAGCTGAGCAGAATCAGCTAATTAAGCTCTCAGTATAAATGCTGGTAACCTGGTTCTGCTCTCTCGCAGTAGGCTGGATCCACGGACCCCGAGCAGCCTCAGGATCTAGCGGGGCTAATTGTCAAAGCTTGTTTTTGTGAACTTCCCCCTCCGTGGCAATAAACTTGGTCATTTTTCACAATCCCCCTTCTCCTTCGTCCATTTTTCACCCCAGTGTGAACCAGAATGTTCACACTATCATATGCCTAAAACAGTCCTGATGCTCTTCTAGGTAATCATACATCCTGTCATGAACACAGCTACAGTTGGGATACCTTTGTTATCATGTGACTCTCAGATTGGAAGAGGACATTCACTATTTTCCCAACAGTAGTAAATGTACGTTTGTCTCTGTGTCCCCCTGCAGGGTTTCGGGTGGAGTTCGACCTCTCGGGGTTACCCTCGTTGCTCCGGAGCCTCAGCATCCTCTGCACCCGGTGCCGAGTCCCTCAGTACGAGGAGGTGGAGCCGCAGGGGGTCTACAAGGTGGTGCTGCCTGCGTACCTCGTAGAGGGAGGAGACGGGTTCTCCATGTTCCCAAAAGAGATTCTCAAACACGACAGCGGTGAGGAGACGTTTATATATTTTTATTATATTACAGGGTTTTGAGTGCACCGGGTAACAGGAGCGCTGCTCCCTCAAACCAAAATGCGTCAGACTGCAGAGACCGCATATATTATATTATATTAAATGATATTATATTACAGGGTTTTGTCTGCCCCAGTCTGCTCTGATTGGTTAGCTGGCTGGCTCTGTTGTGATTGGTCAACCTGCTTACAGATGTCCCGCCCCCTATTTTTGCCAATGATTTCCTTAAATTACATTATTTTTGAATGGTGAAATGTTGTCAATAGTTATGTTTATTTACCTGAACATCATACTGGGAAGTGATAATGTTTTAGTGATCTTTACATTTTTTTTTTTATTTCCTTCCAGGGGATTTGGATATTTCCGTGTTGTCGGACTACATCGGTCAGAAACAGAGAGTTTATCCGTCTGTTGAAGGACGGATCAAGATCTTTAACTCGGCTCCGGGTCAAACTCCTCTGGTGTCTCTGGTGTCTCTGGTGTCTCTGCTGTGGACGCTCTGTGGGGACACGCTGGGATGAGTGAACACAGAACACAGAGGAACATGTTCAAGATCTAAAAGGACTGATGGAAGCTCCTCTTCGGACAGGACTGAAAATACCACTTTCACATAAAAAACATTTTATTCTTAGTAATTATTTAAAAACGACATATCCTGCTTATATCCAGATTCATATTAGTGTCTCTACTTTAAAGAGTCCTCTCCTGCTGATGTTCAGGTGTATATCAGTATGTAGTGTCTCTACTTTAAAGGGCACCTATCATGCAAAATGCACTTGTGTACGTCTTTTCTACATGAATATGTGTCCCCGGTGTTCCAGGGAACTCACCAAGTGTCAGAAAACACAACCCTCTCTATTTTCCTCCATACCCAAATCTCTAAAAAAGGGGCTGCAACGGATCTGATAAAAACTGATCCAGATTTGAACACTGTCCTGACGTCAGGACGGTGGCGCTACGGCTATTGGGCCAACTCCACCAATCAGGAGGAGACAGCCACGGCCATTGCCGTTCGAAAGCGCTGGAGACGCTGTAATACATATGCCAGGCCTGTAGGTGGTGCTGTTCTCACTGAATCAGCCCTTGCTAAAACAGAGCTAGAAATGGTCAAATTGAGCAAAATGAGGCATGGCTAAAATGCATGATCTGTTTGGTATTTTGAAAACAGAAAAAGTATAAATATGCCTTATATAGGTATGGCCCTACAATATATCATTTAAATATAGCATGATAGGTCCACTTTAAAGAGTCCTCTCCTGTTGCTGTTCAGGTGTATATCAGTAGTGTCTCTACTTTAAAGAGTCCTCTCCTGCTGATGTTCAGGTGTATATCAGTATGTAGTGTCTCTGCTTTAAAGAGTCCTCTCCTGCTGATGTTCAGGTGTATATCAGTATGTAGTGTCTCTACTTTAAAGAGTCCTCTCCTGCTGATGTTCAGGTGTATATCAGTAGTGTCTCTACTTTAAAGAGTCCTCTCCTGCTGATGTTCAGGTGTATATCAGTATGTAGTGTCTCTACTTTAAAGAGTCCTCTCCTGCTGATGTTCAGGTGTATATCAGTATGTAGTGTCTCTACATGTCTCCATGCTTCAATGTTCAAAAAGCTCTTTATTTTTCTCTGTGCTGCAGCACATCTTTTCACCCTCTGTCTGAAACCAGAGCCCAGTCTGCTCTGATTGGTTAGCTGGCCGGCTCTGTTGTGATTGGCTTAGACATGTCCCGCCCCTTAGCCTGTCACGTACAATGTGTTGAAGCTGCTAGTGTTCCATAGTGATGTCAATGTTTTCCGGAAGTAAACAAAGGACTCCAATGAAGGAAAAAAGAAAACCACTAGATGTCGTCATCATTAATTTAGCGGTAAATAAAAACTTTAAAGATGAAAGAAAGGACTCAGTTTTTATTATGTTAAATAATAAAGCACTTTGGGCTGCGTCAAGCATGAAAGGTGCTGTTGTTATTATTATGGACTTTTATTTGGTGTTGAATGACGATGAGTTTACACAACTTACCTATTAGTCAAATTAAAGCTTACATTTTGAGTTCTTTGACGTTTTCATATTTTTGAACATACAATACTACGACTTTTTTTATTTAATTTGGACATTGTGACGCCCTGTGTGTGACATTATAATGTGATTTGGTTTTGACACACACACACACACACACTCTTCTCTCATGCTCTTCACACACCACTGATTCTACTGATCATCCCATCTGTATATATTTAATTTGCTTAATAAAGTTGTGTTGAAACGTACATCACGGTGCTTTCAGATCCTGACCAATGGGGGCTCGTCCATTTCAGCTGTGTAGTTTATTCTTTAAAGGTGGTTATATTTGAGGATTTCAATTAGTGGCTATCCTGTCCCCTTCCTTCCGTACAGAGCTCTTCTCTCTGTGTGTATTTTACCCAGAGTTCCTCAGCAACAAAGCCTCCTCTGTGGTGGATTCCTGGAGGAAACGCCGGCTGCTTGTTAATGTCTTGGATCTGATTGGCTGCCAGAAGCTGAAACATTTCTTCCATTCAGAGCGAAGACGAGGACATTCCTGCTTTTTATACTTTGGATTAATTTAATCAGGGAGTTCCCAGTTTGACCCAGAGCCAGAGACTTTGTGTTTTTAATGACGTACTACACTTTGATTTTGTATTATTTATTACATTTTTCTACTTTTACTTGAGGAACATTTTGAATGCAGGACTTTTACTGTAACAGAGTATTCCTACACTCTGGTACTTCTACTTTTACTCAAGTACAAGATGAAGTAAAAAGATATGATTCTACACTGTATTGAAGTAAACATGTATTATTTTGAATTGTATTTTAGTGAACATGTATTGTTTGAACTGTTTTAAGTAATCACAACGGTTTTGGGTAATCACATATTTAGAAATGATATTCTCACTTTCAACTCACTGACCCAGAGATCCTGTTTCACACACACACCGCTCCTTTTCACCCCCACACACAGATGTTCGTTAAGGACATCCATATATGTGCACAAAGGTTTAAATGTCTGAGAAAGAATAGTTTATGTGAAAAACTCACATGGGAAAGTAAGGGAGTGAAGATCGGGGCAGAGATAAGGATTGACTTTTGACCTTGTGAAACTTTGGAATCTCACGTTCTGGTCGGAACTCTGATTCGCTGTATTGAACCCGACCAGGAGTGAATCCAACCAGTAAAAACACCTGGGGGATGTGAGCAGCTCATACAGCTCCTCCTCACGGACTCTCTCATTCGCTTTGGAGTAAAAGGGGAAGGGAAAAGTGAACACATCTCCGCCCCAAAATATGAGTATGAATACTGTTGTTTTTGTATGTAAAAATGCTTCTGGTTTGCTGAAGGCTGGTCTAGAGACGTGTAAACCGCATCCCAAACCTGAAGTCTGTACTTCTCGTTTCTTGAAGGCATGGTCTGTCTACCTGTAAACAGCATCACAAGCCTGAAGTCCGGAGTACTCTGTATAACTTGTATATGTGTTTGGTTTCCTACCAGAAGTAAACTCAGATAATTGTTATAACTTTTGATTCCGGTGTTTTCAATTCCTTTCTTTATTTAATAGAGATTTCAGCCTCATCCAACGAACGGCGCGTAGCAGAGGGGGGTGGCTATCAGCCACCACAATAGGTGTTCTGCTCCAACAAAGACCTGAGTACTTCTACTGTACTTTTACTCAAGTACAAGATCTGAGTACTTCTGCTTTTACTCAAGTACAAGATCTGAGTACTTCTACTTTTACTAAAGTACAAGATCTGAGTACTTCTACTTTTACTCAAGATCTCAGTACTTCTGCTTTTACTCAAGTACAAGATCTGAGTACTTCTGCTTTTACTCAAGTACAAGATCTGAGTACTTCTACTTTTACTAAAGTACAAGATCTGAGTACTTCTGCTTTTACTCAAGTACAACATCTGAGTACTTCTACTTTTACTCAAGTACAAGACCTGAGTACTTCTACTTTTGCTCAAGTACCTGATCTGAGTACTTCTACTTTTACTCAAGTACAAGACCTGAGTACTTCTACTTTTACTCAAGTACAAGACCTGAGTACTTCTACTTTTACTCAAGTACAAGATCTGAGTACTTCTACTTTTACTAAGTACTTGATCTGAGTACTTCTACTTTTACTCAAGTACAAGACCTGAGTACTTCTACTTTTACTCAAGTACAAGACCTGAGTACTTCTACTTTTACTCAAGTACAAGATCTGAGTACTTCTACTTTTACTAAGTACTTGATCTGAGTACTAGTGAATTGAAGCAATGCATCTTGAGAATCTTAGCATGGATTTAATTAACTAAATCTCTATTGGTTAGAAACAGAAAAGATGACAGACAGCAGCAGTTAGATCAATAAATATATGTCTCTTTATTCAATGGTTTATATACACTGGAATGTAAAGAGGATTTTCAGAAACAGTCGATTCAGATCCACACGTCAGGCGTCAGCTCTCCACACGTCAGGCGTCAGCTCTCCACACGTCAGGCGTCAGCTCTCCACATGTCAGGCGTCAGCTCTCCACACGCCTCGTTCACTCCTGCAGAGGGAACAGGAAGCAGCGTTAGCATTTCAGAGACACTCAGAATTATAGAGAGTTTAATGAGTATCAGTCAGATAAGAGCATCAGAGGGAGAGTGTGTAACTGCATGTGAGAGAGTTCAGGGCCCAGCTGTCAGAGAAGATTTCAGTTTATCTTGTCATTTCTTACGTTTTTCTGCCTATTTAATCTCAATAAATGTAATATTTTGAGTTTTTCCTCATAAATCTGGTGTGTGTGTGAGAGAGATTAAAGTGGTAAATGTACTATATTTAAGATAAAACGACTTTACTTAACCTGTTTAGCCCTGAGCCTGTTTTTCAGGTCTCAGGCTCGAAAATGACATTCCCAGAACAAATGACCATATCTTCCCTTCTAAAAGGGTTAAATTAATAATCTTTTTTCTCAAAGTAATGATAAACCTGTGAGTTGGATGTAGAAAAGTCAGAATCAATATAGATGTTTTTTATTTTAAAGAAAATTCAGATTGAACATAGTAAAAAACTGTAAATTATAGTATCCGTCCAAAGATTATTTTTTACTTATAGTGAAAACTACCCTTGGATGATGGGTTAGTAGACTAAAAGCTTTAGGAATCCAAAGTACAACATATAATAAGTACCCTGTATCAAGATTGATGCAAAACAAGTGACATTTGACCTTTTTAGAGAGGTTTAGCCAAAACCACCCCACTTCTGAGGTGATTTGGGTGGAAATGTTTTTCTTTCCATATCTCTGGCCCCCATTGGTCGATTTTGATGGTTGACACCTCTTTCTGACCGTTAGAGCCAATAGAATCGAAGGGGGATTCCCCCACACACACTCGTTGTAAAACAAAAAGTTGGGGGCTTTGCGCATGTAGTTTTGCATGAGAGTGAACCTATCTCTAGCTTTGACATCTGGAAACGGAAAAGCAGTTTTATTGCTCATGGATTATCAGAAATCATTTCAAAGGGACACAGACACATTGGATTAACCCATGGATTAACTTCAGCAGCGTTTTTATCGTTTTAATGCCATTGAAGACCACTTTGGAGAGACTACAGAGCCAAGGTAACCATGTTAGCATTTTTAGCTACCTAGCGCCACACCGTTTTTGCTTATAACGTCGCGATTTCGTATAATTCAGTGATAATGAGGGTACCCTTCGATTCTGTATCACCTCACGATGTGAATCGATGTCATGGATGTGCAGAAAAGATAAATAATAAGGTTTTGTGAGTGATTTTCGGTGCAGTAATCTGTTAGCATTTTTCGCTCGTTGCTAATTCAGAGGCTCAGTGTTAGCATTGTGGGTTTTAAAAAAATAAATAAATAAAAATGATCAGTTAGATGAGTTTCTTCCCGTTACATGGATATAAAACATTCATAGTTTATTAAATGAACATGCCCTCAGACACGGTTTCCTGCAAGATGTTGCGGCAGTGCCCCGGTACCGGGGTCTCTCGGGCTTAACAGGTTTAAAGGTCCCATGTCATGGCCATTTCTACTGATCATGATTCCATTGTTGAGGTCTACTAAAATAGATTTACATTGTTCCAAACTCACATTGGTTTCTCATACAGCATCTCTGTATAGTATGAGTATTCACTCTCTGTCCTAAACGGCTTGCTGGAGCTCCTGCCCCCCCGCCCCGCCCCCCCCTCCCCCTCCCTGTGAGCCCACTGTGCTCTGATTGGTCAGCTTGCCCACTCTGTTCTGATGAGTCCACCACCGTTACAGCGGAACATCAGTGTGTATTTGTTACAATGGCGATTGTTAGCAACCAGAAAATGACACAAGTAATGACAAACAGATGAGAATGCAGCGTGGGGTCTGGGTGCCGTGTTGGCGGGACGTTGCGGGGCTCGCTGCCCCGCCCTTTGAGGCTCAAGGAGCGGACAGTGTGAGCTGGATTGCTGGTGTCGTTTCCTGGTTGCTGCGTGGGGTCTGCGAGACAGCGAGACACAGCAGGGCTCAGCCTGAACACACACACACACACTCACAGCCAGGCTGTTCGCCACACACTCACAGCCTGAGAAAAGATAAGGCTGAGTGAGTGTGTGTGTGTGTGTGAGGAGCTCCATGGATTGGTCCCTTTGGTCGTCGTTACGTCACTTAGACCAGGAAGTAAACAATGGAAAAAGAGAAATGTCCAACGAGGCGTTCTGGGGCAGCATAGACAGGTCTTTTCTGTGTTAGAGTTTTACTCTCTACAGGGTGTACTTTGAGGGTTTGTGACTCTGCAGACCGTTTACATGCAGAAAAAGCTACATAACACAAGGGGACGGGTAATAACCAGAAGAGCATGACATGGGACCTTAAAAGATAAAATAAATGTAATATTTAGAAATTGTTCTCATAAATCTAGTGTGTGTGTGTGTGTGTGTGTGTGTGTGTGTGTGTGTGTGTGTGTGTGTGTGTGTGTGTGTGTGTGTGTGTGTGTGTGTGTGTGTGTGTGTGTGTGTGTGTGTGTGTGTGTGTGTGTGTGTGTGTCTATGCTGTTAGCTGGATGGAAAGGGGGAACTGAAAGTAAAAAGAAGTGGGAGTAGCTGGAAGCTTTTTGGCCTTTAGAAGAGAATGAAGCAGAAAGGAACCATGGGAGGAGAAAGTCTCCAAAGGCTGTAAAAACATTGGGATTAGAGTTTGAAGATGGAACAGCTGGGGTTAGGAATGTTAAAAGAATAAAAACACAGTCACATCTTGTGTCCAGGCGTCCGGAGATTTAAAAAACTGATCCTAATAAATACGTTTTAGCTTCCAGAGATATAACCCTCTGTTGCTACAGTAGGTAGGATTGGGACACATCAACATTTTCTTTTGCACTACTTTTTATTTAGTATTTTATTCTATATGTTGCATTGTTGGAGGAGCTCAGGTCAGAAGAATCTCATTGCCATTTCTACCGTGTAGCTGCTGAGCATCTGATGATAACACCTTTGAATCTTTGAATGTCAGGAGTTATATTTCTATTTGAAGACACCACGGTGAGTCTCTCCCTGTTGTATCTCTTCTCGTGAGTTACCTTGCTGAGCTCAGGGAACAGCTCCTGCACGGCGATGTCCAGCAGGACGTACGTCATCTGAGAAACAACAGAACAATCAAATACAAGAGGGTACAAAACATCTAATATTACCTTTTACACATTTACTATAAGAGACAGAAACATTATTCCTTTAGTGACATGAAGCCAGAGGTTTAAAGTACTTCTCCTCCACTTCAGTTCAGAGGTACATGGTGTACTTCTACTCCACTACATGTATTTAATCCCTTTAGTTACTTCACAGATGTGGATGAATGATGTGAAATATAATCAAGTGTTAAATCAGACTTTAGTTCCACCTGGAGTAAATCCACAAGCTACCCTGCAGTATACAAAGTCATTCAAACTAGCTGCACCTTTACCAGCTTTGAGAACACTTTCATGATCAATCATTATAAAACATATCATATATATTATTCTGAAATGGACCAATCTGCACAATCACTACTTTTACTGTCGCTACTTTCACTATATTTTGATGAGAATACTTTTCTACTTTCACTTGAGGAACATTTTGAATGCAGGACTTTTACTGTAACAGAGTATTCCTACACTCTGGTACTTCTACTTTTACTCAAGTACAAGACCTGAGTACTTCTACTTTTACTCAAGTACAGATCTGAGTACTTCTACTTTTACTCAAGTACAAGATCTGAGTACTTCTACTTTTACTCAAGTACAAGACCTGAGTACTTCTACTTTTACTCAAGTACAAGATCTGAGTACTTCTACTTTTACTCAAGTACAAGATCTGAGTACTTCTACTTTGACTCAAGTACAAGATCTGAGTACTTCTACTTTTACTCAAGTACAAGATCTGAGTACTTCTACTTTTACTCAAGTACAGATCTGAGTACTTCTACTTTTACTCAAGTACAGATCTGAGT